GGCAAAGCCTGGTTGTATGACTTCCTGTCTCACCTATTGATGGCGTGGATTGGAGGGATTGTGGCTCCTGACAGACGAGCACAGGCGTAATAATCTCCAATTGACTCCACAATACCTGCCATGGTCGCACTTAGCATTCCCAACACCCCAGCAACTGTTATCACCGGCAACCCCCACTGACCTATTAGAGATCAAGATCACCTTATCAAGATTATGGTTATCTAATTCAAAAGTGTTTCAGAGCTTATGTTTGACTCATGTCTTACAGGGGTAGGGAACCCTAAACCAGGGTGATGATGTCATAATGTCACCYCGGGCGTCAGTTCGGCCTTTGTGTCCGTAATGATCCGGATCAGTCGGGAGCAGGTTGGTTAAAGTGAGGATATAACAGACAAGCCAAACCAACATTATGGCAAGGATGATCTAAAAGATGGGTCAGAGAATGGCATCATCTCTTACATTAGCACTGACACTGGCACCTGCAAGAACTTTGTGTTCATTTTCATTTACAGGAAACATCTTGAAAATCTGAACTCTGGTGGATGTCAGTCCTTTTCTTCTGCTGTACACGGGAACAGGAAGTGATGTTGTCCTTAGGTACTGAGCAAACAGTACAATCAGCAACATGCACCTGCAGAGAGAAGCACCACGTGAACAGTTATGTTAAAGAAAGTTTCCTGTTTTTTACTCCTCCACCATCAATAACAGAATGAACCAGCCGCAAAGTGAACACAGCAGGCAAATAACTATTTTTTAACTCCTGGCCTGAGTGGCAGAGCAATCTGCCCAGCATGAGCGGAAGGAGAAAGCTGGGAACCACAACCAGTGCATTCACCTCTTTCAGTCATAATGTGGGGATGTTTTGGAATGAGTGTGTCCGGACCGACACAGAGACCAAGACAGAGAAATCACAGTCTGAAGGWAGAGATCCCCCCATCACTCCTCTTGATGAAGGAAGAAAAGAGGAGGGCCCCACTCTCCAGAACCTTGAAGGTACCTGGTCTCAAATACTTTGTGCTTCATCGCTCCCGTGAGGGTGGATGCCTTCATCTCCTGTGTTCCTGACAGGGTCAACGTCAATAGCTCTCACACCTCCGATGGGGGTCTATGACATCTCTCAAGTCTCCAGGGAGGTGGTCTTGCCCGCTGCAACCTCCAAGGTGGTCTATACGCCTGCTGCAGCTCCCATGGTGGTCTTGAAGCCCTTGGTCTGCACCAAGCCCCTGGTGAACCCCAAATTTTTGGTCTGCGCTATGTCCCAGGCAGTAGTTCTTCTGGTGGTTTCTTCACCTGCTGCAGTTCCTCCGGTGGTCTCTTTGTCTGCTGCAGCTTCCACTGTAGTTTCTTCACCATCCCTTTTGTTTGGTCTAACACTTCCACACTCCTCTCCTGGTCCATCCTCACCTGCAGTCTGGGATATCTGTATCAGAGCTTGAGCCAACAGGACCAGTACCCTCTGTTACCAAGTCTCTAGCGCCCACGGCAATCTCCCTGCCTTGTGCCAGACTTGTCTCAAGCTACTTGTGCCTGCCTGCATTCTGGGTCCAACTCCTCCTTGACCTTGACAGCCTGTTCAGGATGGGAGACTGTGATGAAGTGATTCAACATAATCTGCTGCCTTCTTGGGGTTTTTATTTTTGTACAGTYCCCTGAGACATTTGTTGTGACTTGGTGCTATATAAATAAACTAAACTGAATTAACAGACAGGTGTATAAAATAAATGGAACACACAGGTGTGTAGAATAGATGTAACTGACAAGTGTGGTAGATGCATGTAAAAGACAGGTTTGTAAGACAAATGTAGCAGAAAGGTAAACAGGTGTCTTACAGTGCTGAAAGGCCCCAATGAGATCCGGCTCTGTCCCCAGCAGTGGTAAATACAGACAAACCTATTAGTGAGACAGTTGGAGTGATGGTGAGTGGACCAATGTATTCCAGTAGCAGACCAGGTAATCCACACAGACCAATCACAGCTTCTACCAGACTTGACATGATGATGGCCCCCTGAATCTGGCACAAACAACAAGCAAATGTAAACTAGCAGCTCTAACACGACAACAGGCCCTCTCATGCCCCCTCCAGCCTGATACTCCCACCCTCCCTTAACTTAAGGTGCAAAACAACTAAGATAAAGGGTTAAAGGTCCCTGTCAAAAATAGCTGCTTGGTCTGTGGTCCACTCCTCTAGGATCAGACCCACATCAGTCCAAAATTATGTTCAACCTTCTGACAGCTGGATTTCAATCAGCTGTTGTTATGTCTAACAAACCTAAAAACATCCTCAGTTCAGTTTCAAGATTCCCCCCCTCCACACACACACTCCCCCACTCAAATCATCAAGATGGTTATACCTCTCTGATACGAGGCTGCCATATGTGAGAAGTGTTCAGGGGAAGACTCCAGTTCCCATATATATCCTCTGCAAGATAAAAAATATATATATCACAGGATTCCATGCATTTATTATTAAAGATWGAATGTCATCAAAAACAAACAAACCAAAAAACCTTCACTGGGACATTTCCAACGGTCCAGACCAAGGATCGCCTGAGCAGGAATAAGGAATGCAAATGCACTGGCCTGAAACAGAGGAAGTCTGGAAACATAGACATATCTGTCAGTCTCACCTGACTTGCTCTGTCCTCCATGACTAGTTTTGTCTTACCTTATCTGCTCAAACTCACCTGACTCCCACCGTGGTCTGGATCAGAGTTGTGATTCCAACAGTGGTAAAAATAGTTCCAATCAGCTGACTCACAGTGTTCTGGTCTCGCCCAACACACATGGCTTCAGCCAGAAGAAATGGTACWGCAACAGTCCCACTGAAACATGTCAAGTAATGCTGTGGAACAATCACAGAAAAGAACACAGTTCAGACATACTACGACACTGCTTAGTACATCCCCAGTACTGTCCGTCTAACCCCGGTACTTTCAGTCTAACCCCAGTACTGTCCGTCTAACCCCAGTACTGTCCGTCTAACCCCGGTACTTTCAGTCTAACCCTAGTACTGTCCATCTAACCCCAGTACTGTCCGTCTAACCCCGGTACTGTCCGTCTAACCCCAGTACTGTCCGTCTAACCCCGGTACTGTCCGTCTAACCCCGGTACTGTCCGTCTAACCCCAGTACTGTCCGTCTAACCCCAGTACTGTCCGTCTAACCCCAAGTGCTGTCCGTCTAACCCAGTCAGTATAAAATTAGTATCAGTTAAGGGTGCAACGACAGAAAATTTAGGATTGTGTTCAGTTTGATACTTTAGTCTAACTGTTCAATATTTTTATTTAATACAAAAAATGAAATGTCTATGCCTTCTTAACTTGTGATTTATTGGAATTATGAACATTTGTTCAACCTCAAAAATTCAGTTTTCAAATTAAATGTTGCTGAAACAGTAAGTTTCTCAGTAGTTCTGCACTTGACAATGGAGCCTAGATGGAGTAGTCATGTGGCTGAATTGATTAAATCTCCAAAACCACAATAATTAACTAGYAAGCAGATAGGTTAACTGAAGTAAAATTGTAGAGAGTGACTGTATGTAAGACTACAACATAGATGTAACAGTGAATCATGATCTGTAGAGTTGTGGCACCAGTTCCCTATTGGATCTCCATAGTCCAAGTCTCACCTGTAGTCCCAGTAAGATGCACAGGTACCAAGGTGGGACATCTTCAATGGTGTAAAGCATATCTAGTTCTGCTCGTTCTGTCTCAATTGATTCATCTGCTGCTTTGGGTCTTCCTGTTTGTGAGTTTGTCTCTTCCAACTTGTGGCTCCGCCCATCTTCCAGGTAATCATTGGTCTGTTTAAACAGGGATAGGTACAGCTGGTGATGTGGGTGTATCACTCAGAACACATACTTATATAAGAGTAGTAGAAACAAAAGATAGTCAAAAATGTAAAAAAAAAATGTTGCACAAAACCCCAAAACTGATGTGACAGATTCACAGTAACATAACTCCTTCCTGTTAATCATCAATATAAACAATGAACTGCTGGCTGGGTCACTGTGGCATCATCATGTGATCTCTGAGCACTAACYTACAGTATCTGCCAGATGTTTCTAGGTTTTTACAATCATAGTAAAAAGAAACTTCACTCTCTTTCATWTCTTCATGTCAGGATTTACTGATAGATTTGGTCTTTAATAGGTACTGACATTTTTCAAATCTAACCTCAAGTAAACCAAAACAGGTTCCTCAGGTGATTCTTGTGCTGCTCGTGTTCTTGCTGGTCTGGACATCTTTCAGATTGTCCGCTTGAACTCTCTTACCAGTTTGGAGTTTTTGAGCCACCAACCTGGACTTTGTCYTCAATTTCTAGTTTTCAGGCTAACCAACTGAACCTATTCCCAATCCTGATATGTTCAGGGTTGCCTCTCTGTGTTCTGGWACCAGTCTGTTTACTTGTTCTACCMGTRCTCTTTGCTTGGWTGAACTCCGTTCCTTCTACCAGAATCTTGCACCATGCCTAGATGTGCCTATAAGGCCATTCACTTGGATTTTTTTTGTGCTCCTGTTACGTARATTTTGCCCCTGGTCTTGGTATGGTTATGGTGAATGGGGATGGGTAAAAACCCATGTGAGTGGGGGTCTCATAAGTGGGCCTATTGCTCTCCCCAAAAAGAGCTTTGATCAAACCTTTGCATCCCTCAGATGAAGGACACACGTTTAGAAACATTCAGTGTTCTGAGATTCTTGGGATCCATAAAAATGTCCAAGAATTATTTTTCTTTAAACAGCCCCAGGGCCAGGCCTAAGGAGTGCAAAGAAGTCTGTCTGTCTGCAGTCCTTCAGCTCCCTCCAGCAGAATGAGTGTTGATGTCTAACCCAGGCCTGTAGGGCAGTCCTACAGACTGTTGTTGAGGTACCTACAACAGCCTCTGGACCTGACTGCCAGCTTTTGCGAGGTAGTCAGCTCTCTGGTTATCATTAATACTGGTATGTTCTGGTACCCACTGAACAGTAACACTGTTATCRCTCCCCAGTTGGGTGACTGCTTTGGCACTCTCCCAATGTAAACTGTGGGATTTGGAGAGTTTTGATAGCAGCTTGGCGATCTGTTAGGATGAATATTTCCTTCTGTGTACACTGAAGGTCTTTGAGAGATGCCACACACTGGTGGACTGCATAAATCTCAGCTTCAGATACCGTTGCATAACAAGCTAGTGGGTATCTGTACTCTGTTTGGAACAATCTGTTCAGAACAGGTGCCCTGGGTCCTGCTGCCATAGACCCCTGCACGGTTTTGGATAAAGCATGGGGAGGACTATGGCTGTGTAGATGCATCTGATAATCTTTTGGGGTAGCACTGGCTCTACGTCTGGTCTTTCATGGGGGTGGGGGGGGGTACTATGCAAAATAGATATTTTTGATCTTTATACCATTCCCTCACTAAAACATACACAGAGTGTTGCTTTGACTCATTCATGCATGTTGGAGAAATCCTTCATGCTCCTGCAGTAGCCATGTGGAGCTGCCTAAACACGTGCTGGTACAGGCCTCAGTTAGAGGGTCAAAGGTCAGACTCTACAGGCCTCAGAGGGTCAAAGGTCAGACTCTACAGGTCTCAGAGGGTCAAAGGTCAGACTCTACAGGTCTCAGAGGGTCAAAGGTCAGACTCTACAGGTCTCAGAGGGTCAAAGATCAGACTCTACAGGTCTCAGA